AAGAAACCTGCAGGTAAGGCCAATAGGTGCGGGAATATAGATTCTAGTTGCTCATTGTAGAACGCTAAGTCTCCCTGTGGCATTGTACTGTACTCAGGTGTTGTGAACCAGTCATTTAGTATTCCATTTCACTGTTCGTTGGTATCTACTCTTGGCCATTCTGGGGTTACTGAGTTTGGATTCCGTGGGAACTTGGAAAAAGTGGTGAAGGTTGAACGACTTTGCAAGTTTGTATTGTGCCAATGACGGTGATGTGTGTGTGTGTGTGTGTGTGTGTGTGTGTGTGTGTGTGTGTGTGTGTGTGTGTGTGTGTGTGTGTGTGCGCTTGTCTCGACTAATGCCGATTTTATAGTCCTAGCGAACGAAGATACCATGCCGCAGTTTAACACGAATACCAAGCTCAGACACAGTTTAGTGACTCCGAGCCGACCAGTCCTTGTCCGAGCACCAGACAGGGTAACAAGAAGTACCATCTTTAACGTCTTTTGGTATGACGCGGCCGGGGATCGAAATCCCGACCTTCTGCTGTCCGGGCGGACGGTCTACCACCAGACCAAGGAGGTTTCATAATTGAAACTCACAGTATTTTCATCTGGAATCTGGAATATATCAATATACGATGAGGTCTTTCCTGTAAATCAGGGAGGACAACAAGCCGAGTGCTCTTTTTGGCTGTGTCAAAATCAGATGATTGTAGGTTCGAAGCCCAGATTCAGAGTTAGATCATGGGTTTGTCTACACCATGTCCGTGCTCTTGCGTTTCAGCACACTGTCGTCACTCTGTACTTTACTCCCACATTGGGGCAGTGGGACAGCCTCGTGTTTAAAGCGCTCGCTCGTCGCGCAGTAGACCCGGGTTCGATTCGCCATATGGGTACAATGCCTGAAGGCTATTTCTTGTGTCCCCCGCCGTGATATTGCTGGAATATTGTTAAAAGCGGCGTAAAACCCCACTCACTCACTTAACTCCCACGTTGAGATGACTCACCAGGCTATCATTGCAATACTGTTCAATGCTGTGTTAGACCCAACTCACTCAGGCAACAATTGTGGATATAGTCAAGGACCAACCTGTAGGTCCCGTGACCAAATCATGGAAACAAAGGTTTGAAAGTGTTTTTGAGTTTCCTGATGTTTACTGAACAATTTTGACTTGGGCTGCCCGGTTGAAAATCCCGGGCATTTTGGGGGAGGGTCAACAAAGGTCACACAGGTGTCAAAATTCAAAATTGTGCCGATATGCATATCAAATTACTCGGCCAGTCATAAGGAACCTAGAAATATATTATACTTCCGACCTTAAATGGGGGAGCTATGGCCAAAAACGTTGAAAGGTCAACGCACTTTTGGCAGTCGGTGAAATTCACAAACACAGTTAACATTGTCCGATAGTCATGATTTTAGTGTCTAATATATTTTCTGACATGACAAATTCAACCAAGCAACTTTTAATAGTAAAAAGGGTTACCTTGACCTTGAAAATCGAAAATGGTTGCCATGCTTCAGCAAAGTCATTGGAAACAGGATCCTTGGCCAATAACGCAGCATATTTCAGAATCCATTGTCCAGAAATGCTTACTTGCCAATACGGTATTCACAGCCAGCACTGCCTCAACATCTGAGTGATGCCAGAGCAAACTGCTCTGTAGAATCGGACACAGATTCTAGATTCAAGTGATTGTGACAGTGATTCCGACTCTGCATCTGATCTGTATGACACAGAGTAGGATGATGAACTGTGCACTAAAGTAAGGTTAGAAAAGCATTACTGGACAATGGATTCTGAAATATGCTGCGTTATTGGCCAAGGATCCTGTGACTTTGCTGAAGCATTACAATTCTTCATGCAGCCAACCATATTCGATTTTCAAGGCCAAAGTAACCCTTTTTACTTTTGAAAGTTGCTTGGTTGAATTTGTCATGTCAGAAAACATATTATTAGACACTAAAATCATGACTATCGGACAATGTTAACTGTGTTTGTGAATTTCACCGACTGCCAAAAGTGCGTTGACCTTTCAACGTTTTTGGCCATAGCTACCCCATTTAAGGTCGGAAGTATAACAAACTATATATTTCTAGGTGTCTTATGACTGGACGAGTAATTTGATATGCATATCGACACAATTTTGAATTTTGACCCCTGTGTGACCTTTGTTGACCCTTCCCCAAAATGCCCGGGATTTTCAACCGGGCAGCCCAAGTTAAAATTGTTCAGTATACATCAGGAAACTCAAAAACACTTTCAAACCTTTGTTTCCATGATTTGGTCACGGGACCTACAGGTTGGTCTTCTAGTAATATTGTGGGATATGAAATTCGTTAAAATACATTTCAAAGGTATGTTGCCCTTCTCAAGGACATGCGTCACAAAAACGTTACGATAATAGACTTCATTAATGCATGCAGTCTTATATAGTTTTAGTCCGAACTAGTTATACGGAAAAGAACCAATGAATAAGTAAGTAGCGAGGACGCACCTAAAACCCTCTTGCGTGAACGCCTTTCACTGTGACGTCGGATGTGTGTGCAAAGACACGGGGCAGCCGTTTACCTTGGCCCAAGTGCGCGGTGCATTTCTAGCCATAGCAAGGATTTATAAAGCTACGTCCAAGGAATTGAGTTTTTAGCAAATACGTGCAAGACAACGCGACAACGACTTAGATACTCAGTTAACCTTGTGTATTTCTTAAGTTCTGTTAAGAACAGCTTTCGTACACGCTTTCATTTCTCATTCCAAATATATAGTGATAATTAAGAAAATGTAAATGTAAATTAATATATGGAAAATATGTTACGTCCACGACAGAGTTTAACCAGTCTCGAATCCCCTTTGGCGTAATTACATTCAGCAATTACAGTTACAACTGCATGAATGTATCACTGAAAATTAGTGATGACACCAGGTGCTCCCGAGAAAGGATACCAAATAGCATGTTAATTATTGATGTCAGTCAATAGTGCCTTAATTTCGACTGATACAGTGTATGATATCCAGGATCCTCAAGAAAGGAAGGAAAATTGTTCAGATTTAGAAATTTTAAAAAGTTATTTTAGTCTACAAACAATATAATCGAAACTAGCATCAGTGTTTGCAAAAGTACCATGAAACCTCGTTATTACGAACCTCGGTTGTACGGAAACCTCTCAAAGAACGCCCTCACAAATACAATTTTAACGCGCCTATTCGTTAATTCGGAAATAATTAAATCCGGATAAATTCCCTGAGGAATCGTCCCAACTGGTTTCTCTATCACATAACGTCGCGACAAAGGGATGCAAGGCATAGACGTTTGACGTTATTCCGAGACCCAGAATTGCCATGTTGCTTGCACACTGAGGAATATGACTAGACAAACTTGGCATTGGAACCCATGGTCATTGATCCTCTCTGCTAAAGCGTCCGTGCCAACAAGACAAGATGTGTCACTTTATGCAACTTAATCCTGCCAGGTCACTGTGCCTTCTGGCTATTAACACCCGCCCTTCACCTTGCCCCCACTTGTTTTAACCTGACTAATACCGTATTAGCTTTTGTACTCGTAGTCTTGTAACGTGAGTAATATCAGTGCAGGAAGTTTCTACTTTGACATGTATCTGTGGTCTTGTCAACATGTGTGTCTCCCTGTGGCATTGTACTGTACTCAGGTGTTGTGAACCAGTCATTTAGTATTCCATTTCACTGTTCGTTGGTATCTACTCTTGGCCATTCTGGGGTTACTGAGTTTGGATTCCGTGGGAACTTGGAAAAAGTGGTGAAGGTTGAACGACTTTGCAAGTTTGTATTGTGCCCATGACGGTGATGTGTGTGTGTGTGTATGTGTGTGTGTGTGTGTGTGTGTGTGTGTGTGTGTGTGTGTGAATGTGTGTGTGTGTGTGTGTGTGTGTGTGTGTGTGTGTGTGTGTGTGTGTGCTTGTCTCGACTAATGTCGATTTTATAGTCCTAGCGAACGAAGATTCCATGCCGCAGTTTAACACGAATACCAAGATCAGACACAGTATAGTGACTCTGACCCGACCAGTCCTTTTTTTATCCCCTTAATGCCGAGCACCAGACAGGGTAACAAGAAGTACCATCTTTAACGTCTTTTGGTATGGCGCGGCCGGGGATCGAAATCCCGACCTTCTGCTGTCCGGGCGGACGGTCTACCACCAGACCAAGGAGGATTCATACATGTTTGTATCTCAAGGACAAGTCACTGACACGTTAACAATTGTCGTTTCTCTCATAAGAAAATAGAATATATTTTTAATGAATTATTGACACCTAAAGAAACCTAAAACCGTATTTCCTTTTACTAAAGCCATGAATGAAAGCGTTTTGAAAAATCGTGTTTGTTTTCTCTCGAAACAGCACAGAAGAGATTATAAATTCATTCAAGGTCATCAAGAAAGTCAGCACAGCCGCAAAATGTAATAAAACGTTCATGGCTAACATGACCAGTTTCTCATAAATAATCTGTTGACCGGGTTTTATTACCATGATAAGTTTTCTGCCTGGACTCAACTGAGTAGTATCTTGTAGTCCTTGAATGGCATTTAGAAGTGAACTCACATTTAATTTTAAGAGAGAGAAAATATGAAAGTCAACGTTTTTATTACGAGGAACACAACGTTTCGGAGTATATGCTTACTCCTTCATTCACCTAATAAAGGAGTAAGCATATACTTTGTAACGCTGTGTTCCTCATAAAGAAGTTGACACACATATATTCTCTCTCTTAGTGTATCTTGTACTATTAATAATGTTGCCATGTGTCCATGAATTCCACAACACGATATGTATTAATGAACGTGTCTGTGTGCACGTGAACGTGCATTGGCGTAACAACAGTCATGAAAATAGTGATAACCTTTACCACAGCTATATTACAACCACAAGTCGTCCTTCATAAATTCTCAAAGAATATCAAAACTTGGCATTCAGTTTTTACATCTGTGTCTTAAAGGACCACTTTACTTCAGCAACACAATCATCACACAAGAAAAGGTATATCATGGATTGGTTTATTCGTATAAAAATGCCAAGGAGAAAAATAACTCCTTAACTTTATTTACATTTGTACGTAAAAAGTATATACAAGATGTGCGTTTCATCTACAAAATCTTCATTTGTAAACAATCAAATGAAACTTAGGATTTAGTTGTACAACCATGAAAATAGTACATTGTCAACAAAGTCTCACAAACGATTTGAAGTTATTATTATTCGTACAATAACGAACGTCTAAAAACGTGTCACAATGTTACTTCTCCAAACAAAATAAATTATTTCAAATTAAATTTGAGACAAATTGTTAACAAACATAACGGACAAAATTCTTATTACGATTATTTTGGCCAGTAACAAGAATTCACGAAAGTACTATTTTCATCGTCCATTATCACTACGTTGACTACCAAACTAGTAGTTACCAATGAAACACATTCATCCGCAGAGAGGGCGGGTACATGCAGAAATTGGTATCATGGTCGGAAATGTTTCACATTTCTTATAACGAGTCAATATGTTCAATGATCAATGCAAACACTGATCGGGGGTGTTATGATCGATTATCTGTACTTGAACAACACCATTGTCCTTTTGTCCGAAATAGGTGGTAAACTGCACCGGATATTTGGATCACTTGATTCGAGGTGTTGAACCACCACACCAGAAGAAAATCCTCGTTTGCCTACAGTCATATGATGATCATGTGATAACTCTTATTATGAGTCCAGATGATGATGATGATGACTTTGACGACGACGACGACGATGATGATGATGATGATGCGATGGTGATGGTGATGGTGATGCTGATGCTGATGACGACGATGGCGACGATGGTGATGATAGTATGAAGGTATTAAAGAGTTCATTTTGTTTGACATTTGTACGTCTTATTTGTTCGTTTTGTCGAATGCTTGTTTTCTTTACACGGGGATGAGTACAAGGAGAGGGAGTCAAAGTTCAGGCTCTTTGTCACTCTGATATCCACTGTGTTACTGTTCCTCTTTGACTTTCCTTCACGATCGTGTTTGCAATGGCCATCATTAACCTCAATCTGGTTCTTAGTGAAATGGTTCTTGAGGAGGTTATTCTCTGTCATCTCATCACACACACCACAAACATCTGTTTCACTTCGACAGTTCTTTGAACTCTTCCTTGGCAAGTAGGGTGACTTTGCCTTTGACCTTTGTGGCGGTAGTGGGGACACGGGCCTTGACCGCCTTACGGCAGGGGATTTCAAAGAGTCTTTGGGATAGTAATTGAAGTTTTGAAAAAAGGTTGATGAGACATGTTCATCGTTGACGTAGTGGCGTGGGCCGAAACTGGACTCGGAGATAATCGACGTTGAACCATTTAAGGCGTTCAGGTGCATCAAACCGAATCCAGAATCACTGTCCCTTGTTACACTTGTAAGAGCTGGAGACATGAACATGGTTGCTGAAATAAGAAAAAGAATCATAAGTATTGATATACACATGCATTGATGGTTTAATTCAGAATCAGCAGTACGTAACATATCACATCGGTAGACACCAATAACGGGCTCACACATTGTAACCATTTTAGGAATTGAACACATCTTCGAAGTGACGAGCAAACGCTTTAACTAGGCTACCCATTGTCCATCTGATCAAAGAACACGTAGAATGTTTTAGCCACAAGAGAAAGTGCATTTTGTAGGATGATTTCGTGCATAGCTGACACAAGCCACCTGTCACTATATGCTTATAACCGATCCTATCAACCCTTTTTATCAACGTTTTAACTTGACATTCTGCTAATATCACTGGAGTAAATAGAACATTGCACCCAGCATGCAACTTCAGGTTGTTAGATTATGCAAACAGGGTAGACGAGTTTGACGCACCGTTACATGCTTTAGATCAATAGATTCAGGTGTATAATAGAATATATTAGGCTCAATCGATTTCATTAATCACATTGGGATAAACAGTCTCACTTAAGCATGCATCGCTCTTCTTTTATGCCTTTGTCTTCCTTGAGAGAATTCAAGATATAATTGCTAACTATGCACTTCAACATTCGAAGGAAACACTACTACGCTTTTTTCTTATAAGAATGTCTATATCGATTAGGGCTAATGTCTTTCTCTTGGTCATTCACAAATCTAGCTTAGCAAACACCGAGCACTAAAACGAATAGTTTGAGGTTATTAAAAGACATTGCTACTATTAGAAAGTATTGAATATTTGCGCATTAGCAACCGATTAATTATTTGCATACATAGTGTAACATTGTAAATGCTGACTGGTCCATTTACTAATTCAACGTCAATGTCCCTTACAAAACATTTACCACTTAGCAATTTCTGTTATGTTAGTTGCTACAAAAACAAAGTACAACAGGAAGAAAAATAAGATATAAACTACTCTTTTTAGCATATCGATTTTACATTATCTAGCTTTCCTCAAACCATGACTAAGAAATCCACGCAAACCAGAAAAATGATCCCGCTTGTATTTCTCAATGGTTTCGAGAACATCTAGTCTCAGTTTTCAGGCAGCCCACGCACAAAATCAGTCTAGCAACCGTTGCTACCTATGTATGACTTAGCCTTGTAACAGTTGCGTTCATACATTATTTTACACTCGTGCATTACCGTCTCCCATGAAGCAAAATCAGTCTGGCAACCGTTGCTACCTATGTATGACTTAGCCTTGTAACAGTTGCGTACATACATTATTTTACATTATTTTACATTAACACCACCGATAACATCCTTCATACCATGTAAGAGAGTGAATGAAGATTTATGCCGCGTTTAGCAATATTCAAGCAATATCAGACATGTACAACAAACATGGACGTCACACACTGAAGTTTTTATAGGAATCGAACCGGGCCTTCTGCGTGACCAGCGAACGCTTTAACCAATAGGCCAACCACCGCCGTGTGTTCCAAAGTCTAATTTCAGCCCCTGTATTTGTCGGAACTATACGATTCTGTTTATATTTAATAGAAAATTTGTTATGATTAGGGTCGACCTAACGTGTAAAATGTCTTGTTTACTGTCCAATCCCGAAGACCTTTCAGCAAGGTCGTAAGTAGGGCACTCACGTCCTCGAGCAAGTATCAAATCGGCTTATAGGTCAGACTCAACCCATTCTCCACCTTGGGCGGATTTGTTCGACCGTTGTAGGTAATTAGGTGGTGTCTCTTAATCACCCTACAAAGGCAGACACATGGCTAACAACATAGGTCGCGTAACCTGTAGTATTGGGTGCAGCTGTCGCTTGAATATACGAGTCCGACTGATTTCTTAAGCAGGGCGTTACCACATAGCTTTGATATTTATAACGCAGCCAGTGTTCGCAACAACACCAGCTTCTAGCATATCGATCCATAAATCGAAAACCATTTGCGTTTTTAGATATTTTCTGTTCGCATTTGCTTGATCGTGACAGAAATGTTTTCATGTTATCTATGATAATATGTTGTCGATGCAACCTCCAGCTGTTATTGAAATTGATAATTTCTTAAAAATCATACATGTACATTGTTGCAATAATATTTTGTTATCCCATGATAAATATGTTTGTGCTTCGACAGGCAACTGTTTATACATCACTGATAACGGAATTAATATATTTTCAGAACATAGCTTTTATAGCATATTCAGACTAATTAATTGATAAAAAACATTTTATACGAACCAATTAATATGAAATAATAAACACAAGAAATTATCCTGAATATAATATTCAACTAAAAGCTCACAGATCAAGGATATTTTGTGTGAGCACATTTCAGGGTTACGGATGGGGAAAATGGGCATTTAGTAGTAGTCAGAGCATGGATCTCACATAATATAACGATCAAATTATACATTCGCCCAGCGTTTGGTCAATAATGGTGAAAGGTCGAAAAGGCTGCACAAAAGTTTTATCGACAATGCAACCGCAAAAGCACACACAAGAAAAGAAATAATCTCATTCAATCTTTGAATCTGAATAACAATAACCCTTTATATGAATAACCCTTTATGCAGGGATTCTAATAATCTGTTCACGAATATAAATTGTGAATTATTTACTCGCTGCCATTGAAACCTTTCTTGTTATTAGTCTTTCAATCAAAGCGCTATATCCAAACCGACACATAGAGTTTTAGAGTTTCTACATTATGTAGAAATGCCATGGGTAACATTTAGGTAAGCACAGTGTGTGGGATGACTGTCTGCATTAAGCCCTTTGACGTAGACTTGAAGCTTATTTGGTATTATCGCAGCTGACGTCTTCTCGACACGCCATCACAAGCTGAAGAGTATATAGCCTTGGGTGGCACCAGGTCTTTCATAAATGCTTCTAGAACTCCTTCAAGATACTGTATAAATCTCAGTGACCATTTCGCTATTACTACATTCGATCTGAGGCATTAGTTAGTGAGTATGGTCTTATGCCGCTTTTAGAAATTTTCAAACGATGTCACGGCGGGGGACATGAGAAATGGGCTTCACACATTGTACCCATGTGGGGAATCGAACCCGGGTCTTCGGCGTGACGAGCTAACGTTTTAATCACTAGACTACATCACCGCACCACTGAGGCCTTAGCTAAACGTACAGCGAGCTTAACTCTTTTCTTCAGTGACTCACAACAGTCTTCAGAATCGTTTGAAACCATTTCTTCACATAATTGTCAAAAGTATGCATAACCATTTAACCATAACCATTAAAATGATATGCGTTTGTTATTAATGTTTTTGCGAAAGGACAAATATGGACTTTTATCACATTTCATTTGAAGGTTAAGTTAACTTAGAGCAAAGTTTTAAAGAAAGTAGCTCAGACATTCTTTACAAATTTGTTCTACAACAAAATCAGAAAGTTTTTGCACAACGCTAAAGTAAAGCACAGATAACAGAAAGAACTTCAGTCAAGGATGTGAAAATGATAAATGTCCTTGAATATTTTCAAACACGATTATTTCTCTCACATTTTTCGAATTTCCAATCAAACCAATGCACACAAATAAATCTAAAACATTTGTGATAATCTAGGCAGAATAATCTCTGATGTTGACGTTTTATACTTACTTACATGAAGTAAGTGAAATTTTCAAAAGACCTTGAGAAGCAAAACAGTTCGTATACATATACAAACGGGTAAATACGGGTAGAGTTAGAAATAAAACATCACCCACCTGTATAGATAGACAAAGTTGCTGGGGTATAGAAGTCCGGCACCCTGATATGGATCAGAGTCACAAAATGTTGCAGTTGCAGACAGAGCACATTCCACCAGTTGCAGATGTGTAGAGCATGCGAGTCACAAGCGTTCTGGCAGCGAGATTTCGCGGCCTCGCTTTTCTACCGACAGATACGCGTTGGAGGATCGATATCGTGCAGGCATCAGCGATGGCCTCGCATCACGAACCTACTGCCAGTGTCAGCTTACATCTAGTTAAAGTGTCACACGTTTTCTGTTCCGTTAGGTATGAACTTTAAACGTCAGGGTCGAACTGGAGGTTGTACTCCATATTTGGAAAATGTATTGATTTTACTTTCCCGAGTTTAGTTTGAGGGAATCGTTGTTGCTGCGCGGATGGATTAAGGATTGCCCGATGGATGGCGGTTTGGATGGTGTCGTGTGGCGCTTCATCAGTCAACGGGGGTGTGCTTTGTAGCCTTTATTAATGCTAAGGTTCATGATGAGGCTCCTTATAGATTAAGAGGATGAAATTTAACGTGAGTCGTTAGATTTGCATGTTGTTGTTGTAGCTTGTGTATTCGTATCCGATGTGTAATTAGTGAGGCTTGGACATACGTTAATCTAAGAGGTGTTATTTATTATCTGGATTATCTTAGACAGGACTATGAAATAAAAGTATTGACGAGGAAATACCCCTGAGATAGATACGTTTGATTTTAAGTCTAACGGGGAGTGCTATCACGTTTCGCTGGTAACGTTCAACTGGATGAAGGTTTCGTTTGTCAACTGTACAAAAACAAAACTTAACTATTTGCCCTGACATCTCACTGTCGTCTTGTCTGAACAACATGTTTCTTTCTTGTCTGGCGATCTAAAATTTCATAAAATCAATCAGAAAGAGACATTATTCGTCATTCGATACGAAAGTATGCATATTATGATTCCTTTATGAACGAGAAACGTGTGACCTCGACTTAAAAAGACGTCATATCTTGCAGTTTTGATTATTGTGGCTTATAAAGTGATCTCGAGAAGGACAATGCAACTTGTTCGTCTTGGAAATACACGTTTCGCTATACACGGCGAGTAATTTGTAATTAATTCCGGATCAGACGCTTCAGCTCGCAGTTTGGACGTTGATCGGCGTCATCTTGATGCGATGTCTGCTCTTTTTATTCTCTGACTGCTATACTATCGATTGCAACTTGTTCCGTCCTGAAAACCTCAGGAAGATAGTTAAACTGTAAGCAGTTTTGAATTCCAATATGAATTCGAAATTATGAAAATCCCGATATATGTTTTCCTCGACCCTGGTGTGTTCCGGATGCCTAAACCCTCTTGAAACCAAAAATATATTGTTTGACATTTTTGGAACAATGTTTCAAAATTTATTTTCGTGTTGGATTTTGTGGTGTTGCTTGTTTTGAGTCATTTGGGACATTATTTACTTGTTACCACAAAACAAATGCCACAGCTCCAGTCTACAAGATATGCTATGACAATACCCTCTATACATGTTTGGTGTTTTTGTGTCTGGACATTCAGGGGATACCCTATGCACATCTCCCGTGGAGTAGAAAAGGTCCTAGCATCGCTTGAGAGCTGACTTGCAATGTGTAACAAGGCTACTTGTCACAATGCAGATTCCGACACTGAACACGTGAACATTGATCACCAGAGCAATACATGGTCCCAGTGTTAACGGGTGACCGTTCCAAGGTGACAACTTTACGTGCGGAGGGACTGCTTATCCGAAAATTGCCAAGAGGCAAATAATTACTTCCAAGATAATTTCAGGATGTGGAGTCATCTTAATGATATAGAATGCAGGAATGGTTTTCTCGGCGTGGAGAAATAGCAGTAATCTTGTAGTTTAGTTACAACCTGTCAAGCTTTTATTTCTCCTGGGTAAGATTTGTTCATGGGCTGTGTATACCCCCTATTACGTCAATCAATCAATCAATCAATCGGTCGATCGATCATTGATCAATCAATCAATCAACCAATTGAATGCGTTGATTGTTTCAGATTGTCCACTCTTGAATGGTCTGTGTGATTTATGTTATTTTCGGAGTGTTCTGATTCGATTCCGATTTAATGCTGGTCTGATATTGTTTAACTCCGATACAGCAATATTTGAATCGTTTACAAACTTATCATTAGTTGCTCACGTGTTGACATAAATGAAAGCTTCACTCCTAGCAACCATTACCTATATGTTAAGTGGTGTGAAGTTAATGTTCTTTATCGTCACTGCTGCGACACGAAGCGATAATAATAAACCCGGTCTCTTATTCAATGTCCATGCAGCTAGAAAAAGAGAGTTGACATTTTTTAAACATAAACTTTTTACCAAAGCGACTATTATTAACTGGAGTATCTACTTCGGTGACAATGCGACAAATATAGAACACACATTCTTCACGAATGAACGGTTTTCCCGGTGGAGAGACATAGCAGCTACTTTGTCGTTATACATAACAGGTAAATCTGTTCAGATTTCTCTCTCTCTCTGTCTCTCTCTCTCTGTGTCTCTCTCTCTCTCTCTCTCCCTCTCTCTCTCTCTCTCAGCATTGGCTCAGCAGCTTGTACTGTCTGTCTATCTGTCATGTTGAAAATTAACCGTGTATGTTGCATACAAATAGACAATGCATGTTGAGTGAGTGAATGAGTCTTAATCCACACCGCATTTGAACATATTTCAGCAATGTCACGACAGGTAATGCATGCTGAACACATTGTGTCAATGTATGTCCAATAGACACCGTATATTGCACACAGATTGACAACGCGTGTTGCACACTAATAGACAACGTATATTGCACACAGATAGACAACGTGTGTTGCACGCAAATGGATATGTATGTTGCACGCAAATGGACATGTATGTTGCACACAAATAGACAATGTATGTTGCACACAAATAGATCATGTTTTTTGCACACAAATAGAAAATGTATGTTGCACACAAATAGATAATGTGTGTTGCACACAAATAGACAATGTTTATTGCACACAAATAGATAATGTGTTTTACGCACAAATAGACAATGTTTGTTGCACACTTTACAATCTGACGCATCAGTAAAGAAATTAATGTCTGATGCCAATCCTTTTTTTACTTGTACCATAATTATGTTCCCGTCGAATCTTTAGGTGAACAAATGGCTTGCCTTTGTATGTGTTTGTAACGGGTGCCACAGGTATGGCACGACATGCTCTCTTTTCCGCTGTCACCGAGTATCATCACTATTATATAGATAATCTCACAAGAGTGTCTTTTGATATCAAATATATCAACACGAGTTGATAAAAGTGGTGAAAATCCGAGGCTTGCCGAGTTTTTTTTCCACTTTTATCAATGAGTGTTGATATATTTGATATCAACAGACACGAGGGTGAGATTTTATTTATCATCCAACATCATTCTTCCAACTTTTTCAGTTTGTAGAAAGTAATAAGCTGTGTCTTACGTGTAAAAGGTACTGCTAACAGCTTCAGTAGCAGAGCCATTAGTGATGTCATTTGATTGTGACGTCATGGTAACCAATGACGTCACAATGGTCTGCAAAGCATTGTGATGTAATTTTATTGCAGCGATATCTACAATATAGATATCGCTTGATCTCACCCAAGCGATATCTCCTGTGGGAGCCAGTTTTGGATGATAAATAGTGATTCGTAAACACATTCTTATGATGTAGTCGGAACAATGGACTCAATTTAGCCGAGATTTCGCATGATCAAGGATATTGTAGAACTCGCTTAAGTCTACACAATAATGCTTTATCATTGCGAAAGAATGAGCTTCGATCGACACCATTGACGTAGGATGACAAAATCAGTCACGGAACCCCAGTAGCCGATCCTTAATATGTTAGTCGGCTCTTCTTACAAACTCAATAGACCTTTTCTGGCCCGGAGTCCAACCAGAGCCTTGTCCAGTGATGGTTGGTTGGTTTGATGTTTAACGCCGCACTCAGCAATATTCCAGCTATATGACGGTGGTCTGTAAATAATCGTGTCTTGAGCAGACAATCCAGTAATTAATATCATGAGCTTCGATTCACGCAATTGGGATCGATGACATACATCAACCAAGTCAGCGGTCCTGATCACCCAATCCCATGAGTCGCCTTGTACGGCAAGCATGGGTTGCTGAAGACCTATTCTATCCCGGAATCTTCACGGGTCTTGTCCAGTGAGTAAGGTTGAAATACACCTGCCATCAACCATGTCACCGAGCCTAACCACATAAACATCACAACACTATAATTACAATACAAATCGACAGTACCATTTATGTACTATGTACCCAATTATAGGTTATAGAATATTTACAATTAGAATTAATTACATGTATACCATTCTTTAGACTAAAGTTAAATTGTAATTCACTCAATGGACTGATGAAAAACTATATCAGTTGTCCCCCCTTGTATACACTAAAGGATGTCAACAATAAATATTGCACGAGATCATAACATAGTAAGAGGTCGGTCCATTCAAATGTCATTCCCTTGGGTATTCGTTCATCAAATGGAGACCTAGACATGAAAATGCCACACTCATCCCGGGGAGACAATTGATTTGGTGCCTCGTCCCTAATGGTCAGACACAAGGACACCAGAGCTTGCAAAACAAGCACGGGATCAAATCGTAGTTCAGCTACTTGGACGTCGCGGTGATGGTGAGGGCAATTTAAAGATGTGTTTATGTGACTGAATTGGTAGATTTGAAAAGGATGAGGTACGATAGGGGACTGTTTGGGACTATAACATTTAAAAGATTGTTTGTTGTTTAACGCCGCACTCAGCAATATTCCAGCTGTAAATAATCGAATCTGGACCAGATAATCCAGTGATTGACATCATGAGCATCGATCCACGCAATAGGGATGCGATGACATGCATCAAACAAGTCAGCGAGTCTGACCTCCAGATCCATTTAGGCGCATATTACGACAAGCATAGGTTTCTGAAGTTCAATTCTGAAGATCATGAACAATGAACTGATCCAACACAATTATCATTACTAGTTAAATCGAAAAACACTCTATCAACTCTATCTAAGTCTAGACTTCAGATAAATTACAACTGTAAATTATTCCAGCATAGGGCGGTGGGGTAGCCTGATGGGCTTTGCAGTTCGATT